CAGGCACAACCAGTCATTAAGATCAGGGTAAAGCGTTGCCTTCCTGTTAAAGGCTTCAAAGCTTCAGGGTACTGAGACCATCATGGCGGTGTTCCCAGGAGCGCCGGCTTGTGTCCTCTGGAGCCCAGTCCCCCTCGGAAGTCATGCAGGGCTGGCAGGGATCCTGTAGGGGAAGAGACATCTGTTGCCTTAAGCGTATGCAGATATGCGTGTGTCCAGGCATAAGAAAGTGTATCTTCCACGTTTGTATACACAAAGATGATATTTATATTCTGTCGCTCTTTGGAAAATACAGGTGTATGCTCTGTTGGTAGCAAAGTTACTTCTTCATTTTCATATTGCCTAAGATCTAAAACTGTGGGAATTGTACCATGACTCAAAGTTACAATCACTGTGATAACAAATGCCTTTGTGGAGTATAAATTGAAGAAAATAATCCTTGTGTTACACACACACACACACACACACAGACACACACACCAGTTCATATGGTAAAGGCTGTTGTTGCAAGCCCCTGAGTAGCGAGTAGCGTTTCTGTTTTGGGCTGGCTAGGATGATGAGAATTCTTCCCCTCAAACACTTGTACCTAATCATACATGGAGGCATTCAATGCACAAGAGGAGCTCTTCCAGGTAGAACATGTGACTGGGTTTGTCCTAATGGGCTGAGCTCCTGCCTGTTTATCATTTGGACACACAGTATGCAAAGCCTACTGAATTGCAAGCAGCAGGCTGGGCCTGGGGGAATTGTTCTAAAACTTCCAATTCATTGCTTCTTCCTTTGGATCCTTGGAAGCTCTATATACCACTGACCTGTACTTTCTAGTGTTTCAAAATGCATTGGTTCTGGACTGAATCTTGAAGAAAGAAATCTATTTGTGCAAAGTGTGGGATCCTGCATGTAAGCATCTGACTTCCCAAACCCGGAGAGAACTAGGCCGTGTTGTGTCCCTCAGGCTGTTGGTGCAGGTATTGTATGGGTCCCATGTCTTCTGAACTCGTCCCAGTGTCTCTACTGAGCTAAAGCTGAGCCAAGCCTTGTTGTCACCGTGATGGTTGAGTCACTAATTTGAAATAAATTAGCCCCGAACCTCTGTACTATGTGAATTAAAATTCATAATTATTTGAGCATCAAATTTTTCCTTTTCTGACACTAATTATAAAAACTGAACTAAAGCATCACTAAGCAGAAAGATGGTCATGAGGTCTGCAGGTTGTGAAAACAAAGCTCCACCCTCTTATGGATAGGAAGGCTGGTTAGGGGGTTCAGGAAGGAGACAATGAAGTCAGGGGAGTTTAATGAAGTCAAAGTTCAGGAGGGAAAGAGAGGGAAAGAGGTGACAAGCAAGCAGATGAAATAGGGGACCCTGGGGAGATATGGCCACTGCTGAGAAAGCTGTTTGTGTCTTTTTGCTACCCAGACTAAGCTCTTCAGCTCCTGCACACAAGAGGCTCTTGGCAGACACTAGGTCTTTTGAAGCCGTCCTGGTCATCACCCAGCCCAGTGGGCGCCCTCCTACCTGGTACTCATCCCTCCCTGTGCAGAGCTGCCCAAAGGGAACTTTTCCTCACCCTGTGGGAGTTAAATGGCTTCCAGAGGCAAATGATATTTAATTGCTCTTCAATTCTTTCTAGCACTTTACAAGTTTGATATTTTCTAGTAGAATGTTTTAATATAGTTTTAAAATATCCTCCTTTTAGCTATTTGCGTCCCTTTTGGAGGTGTCAAATGTGGAAGCAATTATCCTCCACATGACAGGATTTTTTTTCCTGGCTCAGGAAAGCTTTGTGCATTGTGACACCTGATGTGTAGGTAAAGATTGGGCTCATTTTGCATTAACTCACGGTGAGTCTCTCTGCCTCAGAGAGCTAAAGGGTAGCTGTATGCTTCCCAGAGAGATAAACCACAATCTGGTAAGTGTGTAGGAGGATGCTAAGAGCTAGAAAACATGTTCTAGCAAAGAAAAATGTCAAAAAAAATCTTCCCTTTGCATTACTTTATAATCATAAAGACAAATAAAGCTGATTAAATGGTGTCAAGGAAGTAGCCTAGAAGAGGGTCATCTTCTTGGTTGAATTATTTCATGATAGTTTAAATTTGAATCCTTTTTGGAGTTTGTGAGGCATCGTATTTTTAGCTGATGGTCCCATGAATCTGAAAGCCTCAGGTTCTCACCAGAGTGCCAAAAGCTGGGGTACTGCCAGCAGAGGAGATAAAATAAGCTGTCTGACTCCATCCAGTGTGTCCAGGATAATAGGAAGACAAGAAGAGCACCAGGGTTTGAAGTTAGGGAAATCTGAGTCCCCAAACTGGATTCATTTACCATGCAGCGTTATATCCAGAAATCATTTTAGGAGAAAGACCACCAGAAGCACCTACATTGTCTAGTTTATGCAGATGCTGGCTTTAAGGCCAGATGAATTAGAAAACATGGGGCAGGTAGACTTTACCTTTGGTTCTCTTGCAGTTTCTTATACCCTTCAACAGCTTCTGCTGCTTTTTGTAGCTGCTCTCCCAATTGCAAATCCATGTTTTATTCCTTCAGGGTTTTGTTTTCTAGGAGGGGTTACTGTTGGGGACAGATTCCATTAGTTTAAAAGTCTAGAAGTAATCTTTGCATTTTATTATAAAATATTTAAAGAATAAAAGATGCATAACAGCCTTTTCTGAAAGTGCCACGTCAGTCTGCATTTCAGACCAACAGTGATGATGTTTTCTGGCTGGACTGTCACTGAGGCCCGCAAAGCATGTTGTGGAATGAGAAGTGGCAAACTTCTTGTCTCCTAGAAAGGCCTCTTACAGCACAGAAAGGCAGGAAGAGCGTTAAAGGAAGGAGAAAACATTGCACAGATGGAGAGTGATCTAAAGAGGCATCAGAAAAGCATCGAGTCTCGTAATGTGGTGCTGAATTTAGACGCCACCTCTTCCAGCCTCTAGCCCTGTGCTATGGGCAGATGAATTAGAAAAAAAAAACCCAAACACCTCCATAAATATACCTACTTTCTAGATGTTTGCAGATTAAGGGAGAGAAAGAAAACGGTGGCAACCAAAGGCTTCATGTGGGTAGGAGGTTCTCGGGCAATGTTGGTGTCCCCACCCACCCTGCTATATGCTAAGGGAGAGGTGGAGGGGACTAGGAAGTGAAAAGGTGAAAATTGATGTAGGTGAACTTTCTAGAAGAGAAAGGCACTAAGTCGTGAGATTCTCATTCCTTGGCATGAATCAAACTTGCTGTATTTGTTCATTTAACACCTATTGATTAGGTGCTTCTGTAGTTTTCTTCGGTTGGAGGTTTGGGCTCGCAGCATTGAAAGGCTGATCTTGTAGGACCATGTCTTTGTGCGTTTACAATCTGATGAATTCGTACCATTGAAGGCTTTAGAGCACTGCTGCTGTCTTTTTCTTGATCCGTCTTCTGATACAGCTCCCAATGAGAACTGCAGAAAGTTAAACAATTATCATTGGCTGTTATGCCACATTATCCTGGAACACACAGCATAAGGCATTTCATTTAATTAGAAAATATTTAATCAGCAAATCTTCCAGGGATCTTTGGCTATTTTTGTCTCTGGGAGATGCGCGAATGTAGCACTGAAAATATGCAAATACTGTACACTCATTAATTAACTAGTTCTGAAACTCCATAGCTCCTGAGCTAAAACCACATTGGCGGCATAAATCTTTGGATTTTTTTGAAATTTTTTTATATTAGTACATGTTTGCAGTATATAATGTTTACGTTTCTCATGTGAAGTTGCAACATGTATATATCTTTTTTCATATCCTCTCCCTTCCCCTTTTTCCTCTATCTTTCGATTTCCTCCCTCCATTCCTTCCTTTCCCTACTTTCTTTTCCTCTTTATTTTGAGTTTCCTGTATAAGAGAAACTATGCAGTAACTAAACTGATTTTTAAGAGGTTCTTTGGATTTTAATGAAGGATTGTGCGTTACATTCTTGGGCTTTGACCAAAAACATGCATATATGAACCTGACACCTTTGGCCCTTAGTTTTAGATTAACTAGGATGAGATGAATAGATATTTGTTAGGATCAACTTAGAGTGAAAAGAGGTGGCCTTAATAATCCTGCCACGGCCAACTTTGCTACTGAGGGTTGCCCAACGCTCCCCAAATGTCACTTCCCCTTATTAGTACTATGCCTACCGATAAGATTAAAGGAATGTTCATTTCTAAATCTGCCTAGGTTTCCTGCCATTAAATTGCTAGATGTATCCAGCCAAACTTTCTCATCTCTGACAGCCTCAAAGGGTCACCCTGAGCATGCTCAGGAAGAGGTGTAAACCTGTCTGGAATAGTTTCTGCCTCCCTGCTCTGCCTTTCTTTTGCTATGTCAGTTGTTACTTCTTGGAAAAATGTTACTTTCCCTGGAGTATTATGGCCTCGGATTTGCCACTGTGTCATTTGGTGCCATGTTCTCCTCAGGTTCCACTAAACTACTGCAGCTGAGTGTGTTCTTCATGGAAAAAGAAAGAGAGCTCTGCCCTTTAACCCTGTCCCGCACACCCTGAGCTAGCACTGCTTATGCACAAGTAAGCAACCTCTTCAGATTATGCTTGTCACTGTTCACCTGACCCATTCATTAGCTTATGAGGTGACAGCTGAGAGGTGACAACTGAGACAGAAGGTGAGCTATCTCACTCCCTCCGTTGTTCTCAACTCTCCTCCAGGTACCCATGAACCAACTTCTGCCTCAAAGCCAAAGTCTCTGCCTTCAGATCCCAAACAAAAGTCTTTACAGACATCAACTCAGGCAGATCCTTGCCTGTGAGCCTCCAGCCTTCTCTTTTCTGCCTTTATTCTATAGACAGGTACATGCTGTTACCCGTTCATGAAATTATCTTGTTTCACTGAGGTCATAGCCACGAGGGCCTAGGGGTGACAGACACATTGGCGCCCGTAGGTGGTGCACATGAAGACTGCTGCGGTAAAGGGATCGCAGCATAGAGAAATGACTTTGCGGGTCTTTAAACTCATTTCCACATGATTTCCAGTGGAATGAGATGTGAGTCGGAAGGTCTAGGGTGGCTTGGTAGAGAAGGCACCCCCGCATGTGACTGAGAGAGGGAATCATTATTTCTGTGGCCTTCACTGCAGCATGGCAACTTATTCTTGAACATCCTGATTTTTTAAACAGGAGAGGGCAGGGACTCATTGGAAGCGGATTTTTCCAGGTAGAGTGGAAAACTAGGCCTTGTGGTACACATCTGTCATCCCAGCACACTGCGAGGCTGAAATAGGCAGATCACAAGTTTGAACCCAGCCTGGGCAATTTAGCATCTTTGCTGGTTCTGTCTCAAAATGTAAAAAACAAATAAAAATCAAAAAGGGCTGGGAATGTAGCTTGGTACAAAGGCCCTGGGTTCAATCCCAGTACCTCAAACAAACAAAAAACCCAAAACAGATATAAGAAAAGACATGCCATCTTTCTCACTCAGACTTCAGAGGAGAGAGGAAGACAGAAAATATGAGCAGAGACAATGTTCTTTGTGCAAACAGTGTTGCTTTTTAAAATTCTTTTTCATACAGGGTCTTGCTATGCAGTTCAGACTCATGATGATCTTCCTTTCTCAGCCTCCACAGTGCTTGGATTATAGGCATGTGCCACCATGCCCAGTTACAGGGCCAGCACGGAACATCTGGGGTTCAAGGGCTAACACAGCATGCTGTACGGGGGATTGAACTTTGAACCTTGCACTTACCAGACAGACGCTTAGACCACTAAGCTATTTCCCCAGCCCAAGTGTAGCATGTTTTAATGGTCAGAATCCTCAGTCTAAGGGATCAGCAGGAAGCAACCGATTTGCTTATGGCCATCCTTTCCTGCATTTTTGTTTAACACAGAACCTCCAGTCATTCATTCAGGAATCAAAGACCTCAAGGTTTTGAAAACAACCCAGTCTGGATTCGAAGGATTCATCAAGGACCAATTTACGACCCTCCCCGAAGTGAAGGACCGGTGCTTTGCTACCCAAGTGTACTGCAAGTGGCGCTATCGTCACAGCAGAGATGTGGATTTTGACGCTACATGGTATGAAGAGCGCTAGGACTGGG